ACATTGTTTACATTGGTTCTTTTTGTTCACCTGTCCGTTCTCATCCTCTATCCTAGTTCCTGTCGTTGGTTTGTGTGTTTACCGTCCTGGTCTCCTTAGTCATCACTGGCCTTCCCTTGTTGTATGTATTATGGACCCTGTTCTGTTATGTTGGTTTTATTCCATTAAACCACCTTTTTTGTACTAGCACCTGGGTCAGCCATCTTGAGTCCAACCCCAGTTCTCCCTCACCCTCCAGGTGAGGGGGACTAAACCATAACACTTTGCTATCCCTAAAAAATGATAAAACTGATCACTTAAGTTTAAAAGAGTGATGTACATTTTATATACACGACTTCAAAGTCAACTCATTAAAACAGAGATGGAGCTCAGCAACATGCAACAACACCAGTAACATTAACTTTGAAAATTAAATGGGCAAAGTAGAGAGATGAGCAAGCCTGAGAAAGTCTTAAAAGCTGCAATAATCAGTTGTTGCCACTAGGGGGTAAAGAAGGCCCAAAAAACAGGCAAACACACAGTGCTGAAACTTTGTAGAGTTGTTTTTGGTGACATGCCTACTTAAACGTCCAGAAAACACACAAACATCAGCGTCCCTTGGGGGTTATGCTTCAAGATACCAGCGAATCCAGTCCAAAATTCACCACTCTACTGCTCTTCCATCTCCTGAAAACAAACTAACCAACAAAAACAGTTTTTACAGCTTTTTGTTAAACTTCTCACTCTGTTGCTGAGCAAGCAGCACAGTGGGTTTATTAGAAATCATCTGTTTGTTGCTGCTAAAAAGAGGAAAGAGCAGTGAGACTGACCCATGGCTACAGTAAATTTGTCCCCAGTGCCTTTTAAACAGCCCCTTGGGGTCATAAATATTGTCAGCAAATTTACAAAAATTTAAACAAATTGGTTCCTTTTTCCCCCAATAAGGTCGAGAGGTTGTTGTTGTGATAGGTTGTTTTATTTTGCAGTAGCCTAGCTACTTTCATTTATTTTTATTTGCTCACAGCCATGAGTACATGGTGTGGAGTACAAACAGTCTAAGACACTAACATAACAGGACATTCAACAGGAATGAAATCATCTGAACAAGGGTTATGCATTCTTCACAAAAGCACCCAACTGTTTATGTGCTTGTAACAGTAATATTGCTTTAAAGATAAAAAGGGATTTCAAATAATACATTCGCAAATACTTTTCTCCATCCATCCATCCATTTTCTTCCGCTTATCCAGGACCGGGTCGCGGGGGCAGCAGTCTAAGCAAAGATGCCCAGACTTCCCTCTCTCCAGACACTTCCTCCAGCTCCTCCGGGGGAATGCAGAGGCGTTCCCAGGCCAGCCGAGAGACATAGTCCCTCCAGCGTGTCCTGGGTCTTCCCCGGGGCCTCCTCCTGGTGGGACATGCCCGGAACACCTCCCTAGGAAGGTGCCCAGGAGGCTTTTCTCTGTAATACTTAATATTTACATTTTTACATTCAAACAAAATATAGAATTTGTTGTCCACTAATTTACCATTACACGGGTCACAAAACCTCTGCATTTCTGTCTAAACCTTTATATCACCCAACCACCTTAGGGATTCTAGTATTATTCAGTCTAAAATTACAGATGGCTTGACTATACACATGACTTCTACATAGTTTACACTTTTCTAACTTAAATTCTTGCTTAATTTGTACAACCCCAAATCAGAAAACATTGGGATAGCATATAAAATCAAAACTAAAACTGAAAATAGTGATGTGTAAATCATCTGTGTCCTGTATTACACTGATAACAATAGAGCAGCACAGTAGTTGATGTGATACCTCATCAACTATATTCCTTGTTCAAAATAAACACTCACTTCAATTTTGATTGGGGCAGCAAAGTGTTTACCAGGTGTGATGTTGTCCTTCCTTTTCACAACACTTAAAAGACGTTTAGGGACAGAGGACACCAAGTGATTAAGTGTGTCAGGTGTAATTTTGTCCCATTGTTCGTGCAAACAAGTCTTAAGGTGCACGACAGTCCTGAGTCTTCGTTGACATGACTTGCGTTTCAAAATGCACCACATTTTATTGGGGACATGTTGGGACTGCAGGCAGGCCAGTCCAGCACAAATGCCACCATCCCAACCTTTTCTGGAATGTGTTGCAGCATCAGACTTGAAGTGAGTGTTTATTTTGAACAAAGAAAAAAAATGAAGAGGTATTAAACATCAAATAATGTGCTGCTCTATTGTTTTCAATGTAATACAGGGCACCGATGATTTACACACCACTATTTTTAAGTTTAATTTTGATTTTACTTGCTGTCCCAACGCTTTCTGATTTGGGGTTGTAGATATAGATCACACAATGACATTTTAAAACTCACTTTGCCATTTTTGCAAAAACTGGTCTTTCAGACACTGTTCAACAGCTGCTTTCAGCCAGTTAATGTTATGACAGTGCTGAGCTGTCCATAAGACAAACAACATGCATCTAATATCTCCTTAATCTGTAGCCACCGCGGGGACAACCAACGAAAACACCGAATCAATGCACGGACACCATGAAGTCGCGTGTTCTTGTTCTCCCCATTCTACCGGCGTCGCCTGAACGCCGCGTAACACCACGTGACGCCCCACGCGGGTCATATGATCGATCGCTTACACTCTCCTCGCTGCCGTTAATTTTCCTGTCGAATATGGCGGAGTATGAGGAGCGGCAGAGTTTGTTGGGAGATGAGGGCGAGGGGTCGTCCACCAGCGGACCCGGCAGAGCGTTGCC